CTCGACTCACTCAGCACACTAGGTCTCTCTCTCTCTCTCTCCCTCTCTCTGGGCCCCTCTCAGGGCCTCTCCCCCGCTGGCCCTCACGGGTCCTCGTCCCCATGTGTCTCTGCGTTAGTCCCCCCATGCCATGACGCCACGCGCCATCTGGAAGCTGTGTCATGTTGTTGGTCAGCCAGTCAGCCTCACCGTCTCGGGGCCACGCCCGGGGCCCTGGGAGCCCAGAGCCGCCCGGTCCGGGGCTCCTCACACCTCAGGTGGCTGCACCACCTCATTGTCACATCAGTTTCTCGGTCTCTCCCGGGGGCCCGCTGCCCTCGACTTCCGTGGAGGGGTCGCGGTGACGTCCCATCCGTCCATCTGTCTGGCTGCCGGCCCTGCCACCCAGACACCTGTCTCACCTGTCTCACCAGAGCCATGCCTGTTGCATCCCTCCATGTGGTCTCTGTGTGGGCGGCTGGGGGCGGGGCCTGACTCCCTCTGGGTGGACGGTTGGGGCCTGGAGTTGGCACAGGCCCCAGCCACAGGGGACCCTCAGGCAGGTAGTGGCTTGGACCAGAGCGGGCAGCTCCCACCCTAGGCGGAGCAGGGGCCCCGCAGGGGGCGTACCGGCTGCCCCCAGAGAGTCTGAGGATGGGTGGGGCGGGCTCCAGAGCGTGGGGCACAGAGGCCCTCAGCCAGAGGCCAGGAAGGGAAGGCCTCCCTGGGGACCCGCCCTTCAGCTCCAGACCCACAGGCCACGTCAGAGCCAGGCCTTCTGCCTGAGCCAGGGCCCCCCTGCCCTCCCGCCTTGGGCATCTTGTCCCCGCAAACTCTGCGCATTTGGACCAAAAGCTTCCCAAACGGACCCAGTCTTGCTAGGCACACCCTGGTCCCAGGTGGGAAGGGGGCCGTGCAGGGACTGAGCCCACAGGAGCTTGCTCCAAGGTGGCAGTGGGTTGGCACCCTGCCCCCTGCACGGGATGAGGGGCAGGCCCCCAGGACACAGCCAGGGCGTGGCACAATGTGAATTCAAGGTGAAGCCAGCAGAGGGCACCAACCCCCCATGAGGCCCGTCTGCTCCTCTTCCCCAGGGGCTGGGTGCAGGGCTGGTGGGTAGATAGCGAGTCGGTGGGGCTGGAGCGCAGGCTGGGCTGCCCAAGCCAGGGGCACCACCAGGCGAGCAGGGAGAGGAGGGGGGTGCGCAGTCCAGAGGTGCAGGTGTCCCCCACAGACAGCACGCTGGGAAGGCAGCTGCAAGGAGCACAAAAGTCCCACAGGCAATGGCTGCTTTTGGTGGGCATCACTGAGTCCTGCTCCCCCGCCCCCATCCAGAGCAGGCAGGCTCCCCCCCACCTGGTTCAGGTGCAGCTCAGAGACTCACAGGGCCTTTCCGGACACACTCCCATAGGAGGCCTCACCCAAGCCTCCCTGGGCATCAGGGACCACCCCCCCAGGCCAGCTCTGGCCCCCTGTGGCATCTGGGCCTGGCCCTTCGCTGCCGGGGTGACTGGGGAGACCGGACGGGCGGGGGAGGGCAGCCCAGCTCCCACTCGGCTACGGGCTGGGCACCTGCTCGGAGGGAGGCCTGGGCGGGGGGCTCTGTTGGGATGGGGGGTCGGTCCGGCTGCTGAGATCCTCTGCCCCTGTCTTGTGGCCGGTCCGGGCCAGGGTGGCACTGGGCGCTCAGGGCTGGGGTCCCTGGTGGCCGCGGGGCCAGCGGGTATTGATTGTTGGTTCTTATTTATAGAGCACCGGGGGTGGACGCGGCGCTTTGCAAAACCAAAAAGACACAGTGCTGCCGCGACGCGCTATTGAGAGGGAGGAGGGCCAGCTGCAGATGTGTGCCCGTCATAGGGAGAGCTGAGACGCCCTGCCCGCCCTCCTCTGCCCCCCTCCCCCGCAGACAGACAGACAGACGGACGGGACAGCGGCCTGGCCCACGCAGAGTCCCGGAGCACGACGGGGTCAGGGGGAGGAGCACCCTCAGCCTCCCCCAGGCCGCGCCCGCCTGCCCGCCGGCCGGCCGGCTGGTCCACCCGTCCAGGCCCCGCGTGTGCCCCCGAGTGTCGGGCTAATGGGCCGCCTTGTCTGTGTATTTCTATTTTGCAGCAGTACCATCCCACTGATATCACGGGCCCGCTCAACCTCTCAGATCCCTCGGTCAGCACCGTGGTGTGAGGCCCCCGGAGGCGCCCACCTGCCCATTAGCCCGGCCAAGGACACTGATGGGTCCTGCTGCTCGGGAAGCCCTGAGGGAAGCCCACACGCCCGAGACTGCCCGCCCGGCCTCCTGCCCGTCCGTCCGCCCCGCTGGACCAGGCGCGCCAGAGCTGAGCTGGCTGGGCAGAGGCAGGGCCTGGGTCTGAGCAGGGAGAGGGGCGAACCTGGCCCCAGGCAGAGAGGCTGGGAGCAGAGACCGAGCCCCCTTCCTCCCCAGCCACGCCCAGTGCCCCAGTGGGGGGCCTGTGGCCCCTGGCGGCTCCTAGCAGCCTCGGCTCCACCCTCTCCTCTTCTGATCTCCCCCTTCTCCTCTGGACCCCTTTTGCCAATCGGCCCTGCCCTTCCCCGACTGCAGACCCTGACTCCCCAGCTGGCAGCCCTTCCCTGGGGCTCCCGCTGCCTCCGACCTGCTCCTCCAGACTGACTGCGCCTCCCTTCGCCGCCTCCGGCATGCAGCCCAGGACGGCTTCCCATCGCTGGCTCGGGGCTGCCCTCAGCCCTGCCCGCCACTTTGTACAGGCCCAGCCGTCCGTGTCCCAGTGCGCGCGTGCCTTCCCCTGCAGCCTGAGCGCGGATGCGCGCTGACCCTCCCCCCAGAGCCCGGAGCGCAGCGCACCGCTCCCCCGACCAGTGTGTGCAGTGATGATGCCTAAAAGAATGCCACGAACAGCTCGGTCTGTGTTGCTTGTTGACGCCTGGAAGGAGCGTGGAGGAGCGCGAGGGGTGGGGGAAGGTTGGGGCAGCGGCGCCCCCTCAGGTCCCAGCGGCGGCGGGGCTCCCAGAGTCCGCAGGCGGGGCCCCGCGCGGGCTGGGGTTCGGAGGTCTCCTCCGCGGGGCGCGGGCGAAGGCTCGTTGGCGGCGCCCCTTGCAGGCGGTGACCACCAAGCCCAGCGCCAGGCAGGCGGCCAGGCTGGCGAGGAAGGAGAGGGGCCCGAGCACGTAGATCACGACCAGGTCCCGCGGGGCGAGCGGCTGCGCGCAATGGCGGAAGGCGGAGTCGGGGAAGGCCGTCAAGGGGCTGAGTGTCAGGCGCCCCGGCGACACGCAGAGCAGCGTCTCGGCCTCTGCGGGACACGGGCGCGGCGTTACGCAGTGGCCGGGCCGCAGCGGCGGCCGCCCCGTCCCGCCAGCGCCCCCCGGGCTCACCTGGCGCGGGCCGCGGGTGACCGCGCAGCCAGGCGCAGAGCGGGCGCAGCGCGCAGCCGCAGGCCCAGGGGTTGCCGCGCAGACGCAGCGCGCGGAGTGCGGGCAGGCCGGCCAGCAGCCCGGGCTCGAGCGCGGACAGCTCGTTGTCCCGCAGGCTGAGCGCGCGCAGCAGCGGGAGCGCGCCCAGCGCCGCGGGCTCCAGGCGCGCCAGTCGGTTGCCCGCCAGCGAGAGGTTGCGCAGCGCGCGCAGCGGCGTGAAGGTGCCGGGCGCCAGCGCCTGCAGCTGGTTGGCGCCGAGGTCCAGCTGCTGCAGCGCGCCCAGGCCCCAGAAGGCGCGCGCGTGCACCCAGCGCAGGCCGTTCTCGCGCAGGTCCAGGCGCAGCAGCGCACCCGCGCCCACGAAGGCTCCGGGCGGCAGCGTGTGCACGCGGTTGCGGTCCAGCAGCAGGTCGCGCGCGCGGGGGCTCAGGCCGTCGGGCACCTCGGACAGCGCGCGCCCCGAGCAGTTGACCTGGCCGCCCGGTGCGCACGCGCACGCCTCCGGGCAGTCTCGGGAGCTTGGGGTTCCCATCTGGGTCCCCGTCGGGGTGGCCGCTGCAGGTGCTGGAGCCCGGACTGGCCACGGCGACAGCAGCAGCAGCCACAGTAGCAGCAGCCACAGCGGCGGCCAAGAGGAAGAGGGGCTCGGCATGGGGGCAGCCGTGGGACCTGCCGAGAGAGGCCGCCGCTCCGCTCTTGTGTTCCTGGAGCCCGTCCGTCCCTTCTGTGCGGCACAAATGTTAACTCTCCCGCCCCAACGCCGGCAGTTCCTGTCCCAGGGCCGGGCCGGCCTAGGGCGGGCGCTAGGCACATGGCCAGGGCCCAGCACTGCCAGCCACCTGTCCCGGAGCTGCCGGCTCCTCTTGGCTCCGAGCCAGAAGTGGCCCAGGCGAGGTGTCCCCGCCCCCTGCGTCGCCCGACACCCTGAGCTCCTCCGAGGCCTGAGCAACTGGACCCCACAACAGCAGCCACCAGGGAGGCGACGCACCGAATGGCAATGGGACCCAGTGCGCCCGGCTCCTCACCGGGTCTCTGCCAGTTCGGGGCTCAGTGAAGTGACCCTTGTGCAGATACACAGCCCCACCCCCAAGTGGGGATGTTTCTTCCCCCAAGTGCATGACTGGTGTTGCAGGAGCACATGTGGGGGCTCGGGGGTTGGGGAGCTGCTGGGGGGGGGGGTGATGCTGGGGGCGGGGGGGGGGCGGGGGGGGGGGGAGACAGGCCCAGCGGTGGAGGGAGGCTTCTACCTAAGGCTGGGGAGACAGGCCTGCCCCACCCCACCCCAAGGACTTTCCTGGAATCTCAAGGAGACAGTGTGGGTCAGGCAGGGACACCTGGGAATGATCATAGCAGATTCCACTCCCTCCAGAATGGCCAGCCCTGGGGTTTTCTGAGGGCTGGGCGGGGCCCAAGGCACTCTGGCTTCAGGGTTGGGCTGAGGCTCCGCTGGGGGAAGTAGAGGACCAGGGTGTGGCTCCCAGCCCAAGGGGAGGGGGACCCCCAGGTGCCTGGAGTTATGCGGCCCAACCCCATCACAGAGGTGGGGACAGAGGCGCACAAAGACCCTCCCCAACTAGAGGCAATGCCCACAGGGCATGAAGAAGACAGTGCAGAACAGTAAATACGATTTCATTTCCCTCCCCCTGCGGCCACCGCCTACTCAGGCAGCGGTGGGCAGAGAGGCTCCTCCAGGGCCTGGGCGGGGTCCATGGGAATGGTGACCAGGCCCTGGTCCTCCGGGGAGAGCTCCAGGTTGGCGTCCATGTGGTGGGACTCCACGTGCACCGTCTGCAGGTCCAGGTGGTCCTCCTGCACCAAACTGGGCCCCAGGGACTGGTCAGTGCCCCCCAGCAGGGAGCAGGGAGCAGGGAGCAGGGAGCAGGCACCCTCACCCAGGGGCACCCCCAGCATCACTCACCTGCTGTCCATGGTTCCCGTGCATGTCTCACTGGGGGGACAAAGGCAGGTGTGAATCCTAGAACAGGCTGCGCTCCAGGAGCCCAGGTGCCCCCCCCCCCCCCCCCGCGCCTCCCCCAGCCCAGTCTGGGAACGCCAGGCCCAGCCCCTGTGACATCCTGTCCTGGGGGCAGGAGGTCCCTCTCCTGGCGGGGCCCAGGGCCCAGGGCAGGCAGGGGGGCCCTCCCCCCGGCCGTGGGGCTCACACACCCCTTGGCTCGGATGACGCCGACCACCACGATGACCAGGGCAAAGAAGCAGCTGGCACTGATGCCCACCAGCACCACCAGCAGGGCAATAAGGGCCTCCCGGCTGAGGCCCAGGCTACAGTCGCAGTGGTTTCCAGCTGCAGAGACAGGGGCCGGGTGACCGGGGCCCAGGGGCCATCGTCAGCCCCCCGTGAGGACCCCCCGGCCACCCCCAACCCTGGTGGCCATCGACTGGGACATGGGCCCGCTGGGCCCACTGGGACGAGGAGGGGCCCTGGCGAGGGTGGCGCTGGGGCAGGAGCAGCACCTGCAGCCGGGATCAGAAGGGACCAGCATATCAGGCCCAGGGGGCTGCCAAGCAGGCAGAAGTCAGGCTGCGGCCAGGAGGCCATGTCCGGCCTCCAGCCTGACCACACACCTCTGGACGGAACTCAGCGGCAGGCGCTGACCTCACAGTAGGGCCGTGAGGCAGGGAGGGTGGGGGCAGGGCCTCAGCCTGAGCCTCACTTGCCCTTGGGGGTGGGGGGTGGGGCAGGCAGGGTGGATGGGCCTGGGAGTCACCCTCAGGGTCCCCGTCAGGTCAGAGGGGCGGTGGGGAGGGGCCAGAGCCCTGCATGGGAAAGGGGGAGGGGCGGGCCCTGCACTTGGACCCGGGGTGCAGTGCCCCGGACCGGGCAGCTCACAGCAGCTCACACAGTGGCTCCCAGGTGCTTCTCTGAGGAGGACGGCGGCCGCTCGGGTGGGGCCTGGCGACCGGTCACCGCCCTCCTGCCAGGGCCGGACGAGCAGGGGCTGAGGATGGCCAGGGAGTGGCCCTGTGCCCACTGCCCTCGCACTGGCTGTTTGGGGGAGGGTCCGGCCCATACCCCAGTGATGCCCAGGTTTGGAGGGCCCACAGTGGGCCCCCAATCACCCAGAGGAGGTGGGAGGCACTGCCCACAGGCCACCCTCCTCCAGAGGTGGGCGGCTCAGAAATGGCTGCGGGCAGTGTCCTGGGCTCTGGCTTAAACATGTCATTGAAGCCAGAGCTGCCACTTGGGGCTGCCTGCCCGCCCCTCAGAGGGTCTGGTCCCTGCACAGCCCCCTGCAGCCCAGGCGAGCACTGCCCAGGGGACTCGCCTGCAGGCTGGCACGGTCGGGGTTAACCATGGCCTCCTCCCCACCCGCCTACACTGGCCCCTCCGCCAACACCCAGGCAGCAGGAGGAAGTGCCCGCCCACAGCGGACCCACAGCTGGGGGAGGTATGGCTGGGTTCCAGCTGGCCCCGGGTCATTGGGACCTCCCTGACCCGACACAGGCGCTCCCCCTCTTGCCCTTGGGGACCTCCTGGCAGCTCCTGACACCTCTACACCTGCCGAGTAATGCTGCGACCTGAGACACCGGGTGATACCGCACTCATTCACAAACAGACGCAGGGCAGGTGTGCAGGTGGCCTGTGCCCGGGCTGGCACTGCCACCCGCCAGGCCGGTCCGGCAGGTTTGCATCCTGGTTGGGATGACAAAGGCACACCCAGCCCAGTGCCAAGCAGATGCTGTTGGGAGACTCAGGGCCGCTGGGCCTCGGAGCGGGAAGCCCTCTGCTGACCACGGCTCCGCACAGGCAGGGGCCCAGGAAGCGGCAGCGGCGTCCAAGGCTGGAGCTCTGAGCCCAACCCCACCCTGCCCCCTAGAGCCCGGGGCAGGCAGAGTTCTGAGAGGAGGGGTCCTGGGTCGGAAATGCCACCTGGCCCGGCCTTGTGCAGAGATGGCCTGTGGGACCCACGGGGCTGTCTGGGCAGCGACGGCTCTGGGCCTGGACAGTGGGCACACTTGTTCTGAAGGGACCTGGTCGCCTGTGGGGCAGTGCAGGCTCGAGCGGGTCCTGCCTGTTTTGGCACCGGAGGCTGTGCCCAGAACAGCCGAGGCCGGACCTGGCCCGTCCGCACCTCCCCCTCCTGGGACCGCAGGTTCCTCTGGGCTCCTGCGTGGCACTGTGCGCTGGGCCCCAGGTGCGCCCTGGCCACGCGTCGGGGGTGGAGGTAAGGGGCCTTCCTGCGGCCGCTGGCCTTGAGTGTGGGACGGGACCAACGGCCACCCCTCCCCTGGAGGCCTGTCCCAGGCAGCCCCTTCCGCTGGGGATGCAGGAAGGTCCCGGCTCAGCAGGGATGTGTGGCCACCTGCCTGCCTGACGGTCCTAGACCCACACGCCCCCGCAGCGGCCCTGGGGCTCTTGGTGCAGCACTCGGGGGCTGGACCCTCAGGCCGGGCTGAGGGAGGCACCGTAGGCTCCTTTCCGAGGCCAGAGGAGTGAGGCTGGAGCTGGAGGTCTGGCGGGTAGGGTGGCTCGAGGGCCCCCAAGCCAGGCCTGCTCCTGCCGCCTGGTTGAGGGCCTCAGGCATGGCCACGGGCAAGAACTGCTGCGGGCAGAGCCCACACGCAGGTGTGCAGCCCTGGCCTCCCCTGGGGCTCCCTCCCTCACCTGCTCCGGGAGCTGGGCCCGCCAAGTGGAGGGAGATGTGTCCGAAGGTCACGAGGGGCCCACAGAACCAGCGGCACAGGGAGGGGAGGAAGAACCAGCTGCTTTACTCTGTTCTCTGGGGACCAGGCAGGGGTGTGGCCAGAGGACAGGTCATGGGGTGGGGGGTGTTGGGGGAAGCAGCAGGGGCATGGGGGCTGGGCAGGGGCGGGGCTTCTGGGCCGGGGGCCACTGTCCATCCTGAGGCTGTGGCAGGGGCCGGGGCGTCAGCTGCAGCTCTTGGGCAGGCGGTAGACGCCGGCAGCGAAGACCAGCTGCTGGTCGCGCACCTTCTTCTGCAGGAAGGCCTGCAGCTCCTGCAGGTCGATCTCGGCCAGCGCGGGGCCGGTGACCACGAACATGCGCAGCATGCTGTAGATGCGCTCCAGCGACAGGCTCTCCAGGTTGGTCAGCATGGCCTGGATGTATGTCCAGAAGAGCTGGGGGACAGCGTGTGTCAGCCAGCCGCCTCGGCACCGCCCTCAGCCGCCCCCCGCCCAGCCCGCGCCGCGCACCAGCAGCTCCTCCTCCTTCTGGTCGGCCTGCGAGGCCATGCCCGAGTCGCTCTCGTCGTCGCTGTCGATGAGCACCATGTTGTCGCGGTCCTGCGGCCGCTCCTCCTCCACCACCGAGAAGGTGCCGGCGGGCTCCTCGCGCAGCACGCCCTGCTGCAGCCACACCGCCATCCGCCTGCGCAGCAGCGCCACCGGCATCTTCACCGCCTTGCTCAGCGCTTCCAGGGTCCAGCTGGCTGAGGGCGGGCGGCCAGGCACGGTGGGCGGGCGGGGCCAGACCCCCACCTCTGCCTCATCAGCCCCAGGCCCCGTGGGGAAGGCGCCGCCCAAGTCCTGCCCACCCTCCCGACAGCATCAGGCCGGCCGAGGTGCGGCCGCTCACCTTGGTCCTGGAAGTACAGCAAGACCACGGCCTGCACGGGGGTCACAGCCACGGAGAGCGTGCGATCGGCCAGCTCCACGTCCATGGTCACCAGCCCCAGCGTGTGCTTCCAGCTGAGAGTGCGCATGGCCTGCGGAGGGCGGGCGAGACCTGGCCCAGCGCACAGAGGCCTGACCGGCGCCCGCCCCCAGGCAGCCTGGCAGGGGGGCTCTGGGTCCCCCCATCTAACTGAGCACCAGCCACAGGCACTGTCAGAGGCCGAGCTGGGTCTCGGGTGGCTTCACCCCAGGATCCAACTTGGACACAGGCCGCTGCCCATGTGACTGGTTAAGACGAGCTCATCTTGGGGAGCCTGGGCCCTCACATGACAGGACCGGTGTCCTTGTGAGAGGAAGGACACACTAGACACAGACACGGGGAAAAGCCACATGAAGACAGTGACGTGGCCACAAGCGAAGAGGCGCTGGCACGACTCCCTCCCACAGCCGAGGGCACAGGGCCCGACCCTCGGGGTCACCCAGCTTCCAGATCACCCCCTGCTGTAGGCCCCCTGGCCTGGGGCTTCGCTGTGGCAGCCACAGGGACAGGTTAGGGTCCCGGGAGGGGGTGCTGCTCTAACAAATGGGCGTGGCCATGGAGGGGGTGGGGAGCGACGGAGTTGCACACTGCATGGACTGCCTGGAGGGACAGGTGCCAGACGCACGGACAATGAAGGCCGCTGTGAGCCTGTGGGAACGAGGGACATGCTGTGGAGCACGGAGGGTGGAGCACGGAGGGGAGGGGCGGGGCCTGCTGGTGGCGCTGGGTGGAAGCAGACCTGCAGGTGCTGAGCTGGAGGCTGAGCTGACACTCCCAGGGCGAGGGCGGGAGGTACAGCCTGGCCTCTCGTGTAAGAGGGAACCCGGCACTGGGCCCCGCGGGCAGGGCACTCCTGTGAGCCCGAGTGGGGCCCAAAGCTGGCTGTGCGGTGGAAGCAACCAGCCAGCCAGCCAGCCAGACGTGCAGGCGCCGGCTCTGCCGTGGACGCCGTGGGGAGCCCACAGGTTCTGAGAATTTGCTCCCCGGGGAAAGGCTGCCTGGACTGAAGGGGAGACAGCGGACGAGTGCTTGGCAGGCAGAGCCAGATGCAGGGGCCCCCCGTGAGCCGAGGACGGCACCCCACCATTAGCCTCGAGCCTCAGAACCCGGCGTCAGACGTGCTCCTGTCGGAACGAGGGCGTGCGCCCACCCTCCCCACGGGCGCGGGCAGGCAGCCCGTCTGCCCAGGGCTCCTTGTGGAAGAGGAATTGCCCAGGCCTCGGCCTCACCTGACTCGGGTGGGAGCTGATGCTGAGAGCGGGACTCTGAGCTGCTGTTTAGCGAGGCTCTGAACTAAGTGGGAGCTGGAGGAGTAAGACTTTGGGGGCTGCTGCAGTGAGAAAGGCACGCGTTTAGGGGCCCAAATATGGGTCCTAAGAGAGGGGACGCCCTGACCCTGGGCCTCAGGCGGCGACCGCACTTGGAAGTGGGGTCACTACAGACGGAATCAGGGCGTCGCACTAGCAGTGACTGGTGCCCTCTCAGAGGGAGATCTGGGCACGGGGCCGGGAGGAGCCACGGGCGGCTGCACGGCAGAGGGCGGCGCCTGCACCAGGCACCAGAAGCCAGGAGAGGAAGGAGGGCTCTTGTGGACTCGGGGCGATGCCCTGTGACCCCTGGCTGGGACCCTGAGCCAGAACGAAGGCAACAATCCTGTTGTTCTGAGTCCCCGTCTGGGGTGGCGGCTGAGCGCTGCTCCAAGTCCCTCCACCACCCCCACAGCAAGCGGGAGGCCGGGCAGCCCCCATCGCACACAGGCCCGGAGCCGAGGCGGCAGCTTGCCGGGTCACACCAGCAGGTGGCAGCAGCACACGGGCTCCAAGGCTGAGACCTGGAAATCCTGCCCTACACTCCGCTGGAGGGAGCCCCGCTGGTGGGAGCCCCCTGGGGGTCGGAGGCCCCGGGCGGCAGACCTGGGCCGGGGGCAGGGTCTCCCCGTCGGGCAGCCCCCCGCGGCGGGCAGTACCTTCAGCTTCTCGTACTTCCTGCAGTAGACCTCCAGGGCCTCCCGGATGTCCTCGGGCACCTCCAGCTTCTCGTCCTTGAAGGGGGGCCAGAACTCGCTGGACAGGATGACGGCATAGACCCCGAACGGTGGCTGCTCCTCCAGGGGCCGCTTCTCGTCTTCCTCGCGGATGTTGGCGTTGATGCGGCGGGAGTCGGCCATGTCCTAGGGGAACGGCGGGGGTCTCACCAAAGGCCGGGGGTGGGGGTGGGGGCGGGGAGGGGAGGCAGGGGTGGGCACGGCGCCCACCTTCAGCATGACCTCGCAGAAGTGCATGGGGGTCTCACCAAAGGCCGGGGGGGTGGGGGCAGGCGGGGAGGCAGGGGCGGGCAGGGCGTCCACCTTCAGCATGACCTTGCAGAAGTGCATGGGGGTCTCACCAAAGGCCAGGGGGGTGGGGGCGGGGAGGGGGGCGCCCACCTTCAGCATGACCTCGCAGAAGTGCATGGGGGCCTCGCCAAACCGCAGCTTCAGCAGCTCCACGTTGCGGATCTCCCTAGGAGGACGGGGCTCAGGACGGCGCCCGGCGGCCCCACCGCGGGCCACTCCCAGCCTCCCGGGCAGCCCCTGCCTGGCGTGCGGGGACGCGGGTCAGCACGGCCACACACGGGCCGCCCAGGTCCTGCGCCCAAAGCCTGGCGCTCACCGCTCGGGGCTGAAGCTGAGCTGGTGCAGCAGGCGGTCGGCCAGCAGCGAGCGGTACTCGTTGATGAACAGGTCCTTGCTGCCGTAGATGCTGACCAGCAGGCTGATGATGTCCGAGGAGCGCCGCTTGGAGCTGGACTTCCCTGCAGACGGGAGGGTCGCTGCCGGCACCTCAGGGCAACAGGCCCCCGCGGAGCAGGGAGGCAGGGCGGGCGCCGGGCTGGGAGGCCACTGACCTCTGACCCCTCAAGCCTCAGGGCCATGTGGCAACAACTTGGAAACCAGAACAGCCAGCCAGACCCTCCCGCACGCAGGCCCCCCTCCCCCCCGACACACACACAAAGCTGGTGGGGCTGGGCTGCGGACCTGGGTCAGCGTCCACGGGGTCGGGGACCCAGTCTTCAGGCTCCCCGGAGTCGTCCTCGCTGTCCTGGCCAGTCTCCAGGCTCGCCGGGTCCGTCTTGGACAGCTCGACGGCCAAGTCCCCGGTCCCATCCGAGTCCCCCGTCAGCCCGGCCACGATCTGCCGCACCGTGTCCTCCCGCGTCCTGCCAGGGGGCGCAGGGGCCTCAGGAGCCTCCCCCTCCCCCTGACCCCACGGTGCTCGCTCCCTCCCCACAGCCAGTCCCGCCCGCAGGTCAGAGACAAGCGTTAGGCTTTTGCCCAAAAAAAACCAAAACTAGATAAAGTAAAACAAACGACTGTGGGAGCGGCAGGAGTGAGACGACCAGGTGACCAGGGCCAGCCCTTCCAGGCCGGAGGCTGCAGGTGCAAGTCAGGGCAGCAGCAGGCACCCGCAGCCCCAGCCCAGGCCCGCCCCGCTCAGGCCCCTCCTGAGTCTGTCCCCCGCTGCGGCCTGGCTCCGCCCGTCAGCCTGGGGCCTGGTCAGAGGAGGAACCTCTCTGTGCTGGAACCGGGGTGGGGCGAGGCCTGGTGTCCCTGAGCAGCAGGGCCCCCGGGAGCTGGGGGAGCCCCAGCACTCACCTCAGGTAGCGGCGGACGGGCTCGCAGGCCACCTCCAGGATGACCATGGAGGGGTCCAGCACGCGCAGCGCCTTGATGGCCGAGATGTAGAGGGTGATGATGTCACACGTGTTGACGCCTACAGCCGGGACAGGAGGCTGAGGGTGACGGCAGCACCCAGGGTGGCCACCAGCGAGCCAGGGGACCTGCAGGGGCCAGGTGACTGCACGCCCGAGATCTGAGCCACCCCCCGCCCCCCAGCAAGCAGTCTGTTCCAGGGACTTGGGCACCACCCCACCACCAGGCCAGCACCCCCAAGAGCCCCCCAAAACTGCTCCTTA